AAAATGATGGAGAGTTTGGCTACGTTTTTACGAAATAAGAGCGGGTGGGTTTTTAATCGTGTTGAGGGTTTGGATTTACATACTGTCAAGTACACCCCTTTCAAAGGCTCTTCGTACATTAAGCTGCCAAAACATCTCGAGAGTAAGAAGACTATAATAAATATGAAAAACAAGGATGAAGAGTGCTTCAAATGGTGTGTTACGAGAGCTTTGCATCCTGTTCAAAGTAATCCTAAGCGTATCACAAAGATTTTGAGAAAACAGGCAGAAAAACTCGTGTGGGATGGCATCGAGTTTCCAATGGAGGTGAAGAGCATTAGTCGCTTTGAAAAGTTGAATCCGGAGATAGGAGTCAACGTTTACATGTATGAAAATGGACTCAATCCCTTGAGAGTGAGCAGCATGACTCATGCTGTAAATGTAGTTGATCTTCTACTTATTAGTGAAGGTGACAAAAAGCATTACTGTCTCATCAAGAATTTGAGTCGGCTCGTATCGAGTAGCCTATCAAAAAATGAGCATAAGAAGTTTATCTGTAGGAGATGTCTTAATTACTTCGGTTCTCAGAGGGTTCTTGACACACACAGCGAGTTGTGTCAAGATCATGAGGCTGTGAGTGAAAAGATGCCAAAAGAGGGGACTTATCTCTCTTTTAAGAATCATCAAAAGCAGATGACCATGCCATTCGTCATCTATGCAGACTTTGAGTCGATAATCAAACCTTTAGACACCGTACAAGCATATCCGGAAAGATGTTACACTGAGAGAAAGCAACAACATATTCCAATAAGTTTCTGTTACTATGTTAAGTGCACATTTGATGATAGTTACTCAAAACGGGTTGAGTATACAGCCAAGTCTGAGGATGAAGATGTAGCGCAAACATTCGTTGAAGCGCTTGAAGCAGAGGTTAAGAGCATATACACAAACCATCCCACGAAGGAGATGATCTTCACAGACAGTGATGCTGTTGCATTTGAAAACGCAACATGTTGTTGGTTGTGTGGAGAAGATTTCGAGGAGGGGAAGGACAAAGTGCGCGATCATTGTCATTACACCGGCAAATTTCGAGGGGCTGCGCATAACAGCTGTAATCTCAAATACCAACGACCAAAATTCACACCCGTCGTGCTGCCCAACTTGGCAAACTATGACGCTCATCTCTTCGTTAGAAATCTTGGTGTTTCAGAGGGTGAGATTGATTGCATACCCAACAACGAAGAAAAATACATCAGCTTCACAAAACACGTTGTGGTTGACAAGTTTTTCAATAAAAAGGAAGAAAAAGACGTTGAAGTAAAGAGAGAGTTGAGGTTTATTGACAGCTTTAAATTCATGGCTTCCAGTCTTGACGAGCTTGTTAAGAACCTCGCCAAAAAGGGTAGGCCTTTCTTCAAAAATACAGGAAGATATTATTCTGGAGAGAAGCTTAAACTGTTGATGAGAAAGGGTGTTTATCCTTATGAATGGATGGACTCAATACACAAGCTTGATGAGTCACACCTTCCACCGAAAGAAGCTTTCTTTTCCAAGTTAAGTGGTAGAGGTATCTCAAATAAAGACTATACCCATGCTCAAAAGGTGTGGAGAGTCTTTGCATGCAAGACATTCAGAGATTATCACAATCTCTACAATAGTAGTGACGTTCTTTTACTAGCCGATGTGTTTGAAAACTTTCGAGAACTTTGCAAAAAGATCTACGATCTCGATCCTTGCTGGTACTTTACCGCACCGGGGTTAGGTTGGGATGCTTGTCTCAAGTTGACTGAGATAAAACTTGAGTTGTTAACCGATATAAATATGTTGCACATGTTTGAGGCCGGTATTCGCGGCGGGATTTCAATGATCTCGACAAGACACTCAAAAGCCAACAACAAATACATGGGAAAAAGGTTTGATCCTACCCAACCTTCAAAGTTTATTATGTGTAAAGATGCTAACAACCTCTACGCTTGGGCGATGAGTAAGTGTCTGCCGACGGGCGGGTTTGAATGGGTAGATGAGAAAGACTTTGGAAAATGGAAAAGCTTCGCTTGCATTCTCGAAGTCGACCTGAAAGGCGTCAAAGAAGAGCTTCACGATCACTTCAACGACTATCCACCCGCTCCTGAAAATCTGTTGATTGGAAAAGTACATAAGCTGGTCTGCACATTAAACGAAAAGAAGAAGTACATCGTTCATCATGAGACATTGAAGCATTACATGAGTCTTGGAATAGAGATCGAAAAGATCCACCGCATTATCAGGTTTGAAGAGAGTCCTTGGATGAAAGAGTACATCGATTTGAACACATCTTTGAGAACAAAGGCTAACAACGACTTTGAAAAGGACTTCTACAAGCTGATGAACAACGCTGTCTTTGGCAAAACAATGGAAAACATTCGAAAACGTGTCGACGTGAGACTTGTCACCTCAGATGAGAAGGCAAAGAAGTTGACAAATAAGGTCAACTTCAAACATTGTACCATCTTCTCTGAAGATCTCTGCGCAATACATATGGGAAAGACGCAGATTCTCTTCAATAAGCCTCTCTATCTCGGGATGAGCATCCTCGATCTCAGTAAGACATTAATGTATAACTTTCACTACAACTACATCAAACCTAAGTACCCAGAGGGTAGATCAAAGCTTCTTTTCACGGACACTGATAGCCTTTGTTATGAGATTCAGACTGAAGATTTTTACAAAGATATAATTGATGATGTAGACCGTTGGTTTGACACAAGCAACATTAAAAAGGGACACTCTTCTGGGATACCAACCGGTGTGAACAAGAAGGTGATTGGAATGTTTAAAGATGAGGCAGGTGGAAAGATCATTGAAGAGTTTGTTGGTCTTAGAGCTAAGTTGTACTGCTATAGAATGTTTGGAAAAAGGGGAAAAGAAAAGAAGAAGTGCAAGGGTACAAAGAAAAGTGTGGTGCAGAGTACTATCAGCTTTGCTAACTACAAAAAATGTTTGTTTGGTGGTGGAAAACAACTACGAAAAATAAACACCCTACGAAGTCGAAAACATGAGATGTATATGGAAGAGATCAATAAGGTTGCACTATCTGCAGACGATGACAAACGAATCATTTTACCAGACAAAATACAGACGTATGCAATAGGACATTGTAGAGAAGCAGACAACACAACCGGTTAAGCAACACAAAAGTGCCAAAATTATACTATATGCACAATGATTTGACGTGAATGTGCATGGCCGAGCCGCCGGAAAGTGCCAAATTATTGTATATGCACAATAATTTGACGTGAATGTCTTGAGTTAGATCTTAAAAAGTACTAAGATTAACTAATCTAAGTTAGATTCTCGTTGATGTGACAAAAGTGAGCCAGAACCGGCATATTTCCTACTACTGGCACCAATAACAAACAAGAACCCTTTCGAAATAACTGGGAGAAACTTGCCACAAATTAGAGTTGCAGATTGTTACCAAGGGGAAGTAGCAATACCTCTTGCCTGTAAGGCTCTTTATGCGTCTTAAGTAGCTTTAGGTAGATAACGATTGGCCAGTCCTCATATAACACTGGTTTAGCCAGGATACGAACCTAAGAGGTTACAAAGCAAGAGTGTGCTAAAAAAGAGTTAAGATAATCATTTTCCTGTCTGCACAGGTTATCGAAGGAAGTTGGCAATGAAGACAACAATGAAACGATCAATTGGTTAGAACTTAAGAAAACTATGGAAACGGAAGGGAATCCACCCCGTAAGTGCTGAAGTTTGATATATACGGGTATACTTGCGAGAGGCAAGTTGGCGGCCCTCCCAAAAGAAGGATTCTACTTAGCTACTGCTTCATTTCAGTTCGTTACGGAATCCTAATCCTAATCCTAACATTTTACGATAATATGAGGTTATGAGGAATTTTTTTTAACTTAAGTACCTGTATTCATGTTACGAAAAATCGAATCCATGCTAACATCAACCAATAGCTAGCTTTATGCTTAAAAACACTTTAGTGTGACCGGTGAAATTATACTGTATCTCTTCTCACAGTATAACCTGTTTCCTAAAAGCAATTCTTAAGCGAGTTGCTCTTGTCATCTTTGCGGAAATTACAACCTGATAAGCATAGGCTTGTAAACTGGATTGAGCCTTTAGATCATGCGCACTTTGTTCAAGATCTTATGTTGGCTACCGTCAGAGTTGAAAGTCTTCTGGGATTTATTTGGTCACTCTAGGCACCAATGATGCCCAGCCTGCAGGTCATCTTCCTAGAAATGATAGCTATAGTGACTATGATGCAGATGATGAAACGTCACCGTTGCCATCACCATCTGACACTGAAGCGAATGTTGACGAAATGCATGGAGACTTATCATTTTACAAATTTTCAGTGTGGTAGGGTGTTTCGTCTTGTCTTAAAGCAAGGTTGAATTTCTAAGCTTTTGCATGACACAAGATGAAAATGTCGGCCAAGAATCAGGGTTCCCGCGCTCCTTGAAAGTCCTTGAATTTGATTTTTTGTTTTCAAGGACTTGAAAACTCTTGAATTTAGACTAGGGTCCTTGAAAATTTCTGAAAAGTCCTTGAAAATAAGCACAGATGAATCAAAGTCGAAGTTTTCTTTTGTTTTTGTTGTTGAAAGTATAAGTTTCTGGCACATATTGCAAAAACTAGTTTTTCTTTCAAATCCCGCCTCCAATTATGATGTTTGACATGTGATTTTTATATATTTTGTACCTAACTGGTGCGTTGAAAATAATCTTGGTTACCTGGTATGTGATCACTCTGACGTGCATGCTTGAAGTTATGCTCATGGGACTTTTCGGCCCCTCCAATTTAATGCAAAAGGTCCTCGAATTTGAAAGCCAAGGTCCTTGAAAATGACCTTATAAAGTCCTTGAAAGTGCTTGAATTGAATTCCTCAAAAAGTGCAAGAACCCTGGAGAATACTATCATGTAGGTTAATGAAAGTTGGCATCTCCATTGAGATTCTGCAATCTGAGCATTCCTTGTTTGAGGATAAGGACTCAGTATAGATGTTTACAAGCCCTCAGAGGATGCATAGCTTTGCATTGCAAAACTTAATGTATGTTTTTGGTAGCTTCTGGCCACCATATTTGTGCCCCCTAAGAGGGACACGAACATTGTGTCTCCATACAAATCCTTAAAAATTTGAGTAAAACATTTCTTTTAATATCTCTCGATGTTAACCTGTGGTAAATGCCTTTTTCATTGTTTTTACTTGACAAAGCAATACAAAAAGTGATTCAAAAATTAAAGCTGTTGAGGGCTGTACAATCCCAAAATAACAACCTTAATAAGGCTTGCCACTTAAATTTGGACCTTTGTTTACCTTGAGTAGTTGTTTACACTTTTTTACTACAGGGAAAGTTCATCTCAAGAAAATGATATTCATTGCATGGAAATCGATGGAAGTGACAACCAACATGAAGGAAACTCTCCCTCTTTACGCAATGGGGAAACTGACAGCAACAGGTAATGAAAATTTTATTACTAAACAAGACTGAATTGGGTTCTTAAAATGCATGCTTGATTTCCTGGCTGGAAAATGATTCTTATGAAAGGGAAAAGACCATAAGAAAACTGAATTTGGCCTTAGGCAGTATTTATGAGAAATACAAGAACTGGCAGTAAAATTGCCTTTTGTGTGGCAAAGGTGCTCTTTAAGTAGCAGTTACACATTGGCGAGGACCCTCAAGCATTCTAAATTTTGCTCTTAAACTTTGTTTACTGCGTAGAGGCAATGTAGTAGAAATAAAGTTTTCTAACATCTGTAAAGTTGGATTTATTTCCCAGTGAAACATTGTTCATTGTTTACAGGGACTTCTGTGAAAACCATCTTTACTGCACTATAAGAATTGGAGCAGATAGTGCTAGTCAGCAGAAAAAGGAGAAAAAGAGGAGAAAGAAACAAGGCATTGAGTCTAGAAATGAAGAAAGTCCCACCCAAAGCGAGGATATTATAAGAAAGTGCAATGCTCTCTTAAATTTTGGTGGAGGAGTGCTTGAAATGAAAATTGCAGACCCCCAGAGTAAAGGTGCAAGTAANATTAAAGCTGTTGAGGGCTGTACAATCCCAAAATAACAACCTTAATAAGGCTTGCCACTTAAATTTGGACCTTTGTTTACCTTGAGTAGTTGTTTACACTTTTTTACTACAGGGAAAGTTCATCTCAAGAAAATGATATTCATTGCATGGAAATCGATGGAAGTGACAACCAACATGAAGGAAACTCTCCCTCTTTACGCAATGGGGAAACTGACAGCAACAGGTAATGAAAATTTTATTACTAAACAAGACTGAATTGGGTTCTTAAAATGCATGCTTGTATTTTAAGAGAAGTATGCTTATTTTGAACTTACTGCAAATAGTATAAACTTGACAGATACTTTGTGGTTAAAAAGTATCGCGACTGGCAGCACTACCCTGAAATGGTTTACAATGCTTAGTGCTCACAAATGCTTATATTCTTAAAAATTAGATATTTTATGGAAGTTAGGGCAAGCAAAGCATAAGGACTCCCAGTCCACTCAGTAAAACATGTTTCAGTATTCCTAATTTTTTTAAAAATGCCATTTACATGTATTTCCTGCAGACCTGCTCCTCACCCATTGCATTTTTCCAAAGCTTAAATTAAGCATGTTGTTAGTGAAATTGGTGAAAAATTAAATAATGTGATGAACATGCCTGTTTGGGCCTCTATACTTTAGTTTTATAACCCAAATTGATTTCCTGGCTGGAAAATGATTCTTATGAAAGGGAAAAGACCATAAGAAAACTGAATTTGGCCTTAGGCAGTATTTATGAGAAATACAAGAACTGGCAGTAAAATTGCCTTTTGTGTGGCAAAGGTGCTCTTTAAGTAGCAGTTACACATTGGCGAGGACCCTCAAGCATTCTAAATTTTGCTCTTAAACTTTGTTTACTGCGTAGAGGCAATGTAGTAGAAATAAAGTTTTCTAACATCTGTAAAGTTGGATTTATTTCCCAGTGAAACATTGTTCATTGTTTACAGGGACTTCTGTGAAAACCATCTTTACTGCACTATAAAAATTGGAGCAGATAGTGCTAGTCAGCAGAAAAAGGAGAAAAAGAGGAGAAAGAAACAAGGCATTGAGTCTAGAAATGAAGAAAGTCCCACCCAAAGCGAGGATATTATGAGAAAGTGCAATGCTCTCTTAAATTTTGGTGGAGGAGTGCTTGAAATGAAAATTGCAGACCCCCAGAGTAAAGGTGCAAGTAAGAAGGATCCCGTGGATTGTTTCTGGCAAACCATTGAGGGGCAATTAAAAACAATGATTCGTCCATCAAAATATGACGACGTTTTTGACCGCCGTGTATTTTCTGACAAAATATTGCTGTTCGTCAATGCTCCGAAACACTTATGTACAATGAAGTACAATTTATTTGTATCAGGAGATTCGGGTGTTGATGACGCTAATTACGACGATGTTGTCGGTTTTCTGAAGCTAGAGTCTGACAGCCACAAAAGAAACTTAAAGTCAAATATACAAGTGCCTCTGCAAGACCTTCCACCGATACCTTGTACATTTTTTCACCAGAAGGTAATCAGCTTGATGGAGTGCAAACAGGTTCAGTTTAAAGACTTTGCATCTGATTCTCTTTTGTTTTCACATCCTAAGCAGCGATTCAGCATCGCCAGACAGTTGTCAGCTTTTGGTAACTGTGATGGTGGAGTTCTTCTTATAGGAGTAAGAGATGACCGGAGAGTTTCGGGCGTAGACATGGTGAAAAATAAGAAAGAGCATGTGGAAGAATGTGTCAGTTCCCTTGTTGACAAGATGTGTTGTAATTTTAAGCTTCAAAGAGGCATCCATTGGGATTTAACCTTCTCTGATGTCTCTGGATCTGAATCCAAATCTGTCATTGTAGTTAAAATGGCAGGAATGCGGGATGCTGGAGGAATTTTTGGAAAATGCCCAGAAAGCTATATATTACAGTGTGATGAAGATGGCCAGCAGGTTCCTCATCAACTTGATTTTGACAAATGGAAAGGGAGAATGAAGTCAGATGATGCGCATTTGACAGGGAACACCAGAGGTGTGTACTTGACAAAAATATGCTTTCTAATTTGGAGTAGGAATACGTTAGCCACGGTTGTAACTAAGAAATTACACTGCCAGCTAAAATTTTAAATACGGTTGCCCAAAGGCGATGAAAGATTGTAAGTGTGTAACCTCAGAAGTGCCTGTTGTGCTTTACCAAGCGATCGTAGGCCAAAAATGCTAACCGGAGATCGCTGGTTTTTTATCCCGCGAATTTTTCCGGGAACTGGCGCCAAGTGACAACCCTGGTTGGTTACTTTCATCACTCAGTTGAAAATTTATCCAGTTATAATAAGACTCTGTTCATTTACCACAAGAGCATGATTATTATGGAACTGCTTTGGTTTTGCTTTACTTCACCATTTCTTCACTCTATGATTGGGCCAGAAATTTCTCGCCTTGGTTAATTTATTTTGGTTTTACAAAGCTTAGCCTAAAAGCACTCTTATTGGATTATTTGAACCCTATCCTACTACCCGTCAAATTGTTAATTTGCATCATTCTTTTTCAGGGATGATTGATATGCTATCGAGGTTTCAACAGATGCGTGTTTCTGAAGGGCATCTTTTAACGGTGAGAGGCGATGTTCAGAGGATAAGGGATGCCTTTTTTAAAGGTAGGTCGCATTTCTATGAGAATCCTAAACTGAAAAGCTTGATGACTGCTTCGTTTAATCTGATTTTTCGAAATTTACCTGGTTCGTATTTCATTGGTAAGAACAGAAGCATATAACCTGGTATCCTTCTGGTAGGAATTATAAAAGTTGTGCAAAATCTCTATATGATTTGAAAAACTTTTTAACCTTGAAATGAAATTTCGTCGATACAAGTACACAACATGGATTACTTTTGCTTTTTAAGGACTAGATTCTCTGAAACAGAAATATTTTCTTCGCAACTGGTTGGCGTCTGGCTGCCTGGAGAAAAATAACATGAGAACACATGAATTGTATTCCATATGTAATACTCCACAGTTTCTAGAAAATCTGAATTTGTTTACTTACCTTGCTATGAGAAATAGCATTTGAGCCGAAAAACCCCTTACTGTGATCCACAGCACCCACAGAGTGCCGATACTAAAGTGATGTGTAGAATATTTGTTGCTCCCATATCTCTTGGTTGACATAATCCTGTCTCCGACTGCCTTGGGGCGAGAAGAATCTCCTTACACGAAATTTAATGCACTAAAAATACTTTCACTTTTAGTATTTTTTTATTATGTTCTCTTTGTTTACATTTTCTACATTAAAATTTTAATATCAGGCGATGACACGTTCCTAGTTTCACCGGAAGGTGTAGAGTCTAGCCTTCCAGCAGAGGCACAAGCAGTGATTCGCAACATCCAAAAGGTTTGTCGCAGGGACCGTTTTCGGGGATTTCTGGCTGTATCGCGTTCTTGGCTTCGTGATACTGGAGGCACAGCAGTTGATAGCGTCATCTGTGACGTTCTTCTTGTCAGCAGAAACATGGGTGGACTTCATCTGTACACTCTCTGTGATGCGGCAGATGAGACGTCTTTCCAATATAGCAAAGAGGCTGCACAGTCCATAAAGAAAAGGCTTTCCGAAAATGGCGCCAGGGGCCAAAAGTTTTATGTGTCATCCCATGTGCTACCATGTCGCGCAGGCAGAGAAGTAAAATTTCCATCACCTGACGACCGCTACCCGAAGTCATATGATCTTCTCTCTCCCAGAGGGAAACTGAATGAGATTCTCAAAGCGATGGTGGTAACTCTTGCTGCTGTGCCGTCAACTCTCTCCTGCAAATTGGGCGTAACCTTTTTTAACCTTCTCACCACGGAACAGTTTCGTTTGGTCCATCAGCAGATTGAAGTAAACCGGGAGTTATGGATCAAGGGGGTCGCTGGAACAGGAAAGACGCTTGTTGCAGTGGAATTCATGAGAGAGCTTAGACGCCGTGAGAAACTACAAAGGAATGAAATCCTCTACGTTTGCGAAAATGAAGGCATTGCAAGCCAAGTACGGTAAGGATTGCCCATGGTAACAACTTCACCTTAAAACTGGCCTGCTTCCAAAATGATGGGTACGAATGACTGGTTAAACTCCTCAACTGTTCCCCTTCCCATTTGGTGGTCTTGTTAATTCGTGCATTTGAGTCCAAACCCAAATCTAGCAGTAGAATTTGAACTTGAATCGTGGTGAATTGACTCATTTTATGGGGCCATTTGCTATTGTTATTCCACTAAGATTTGAAATTGAAAAAAGTCTTAAACCAGAAACCAGCTAAGTGGTTATCATTTATCAGTTTGGTGAAATTTTATTTTGCCCAGTTACGTAGTATTTTGTTCGACTCGGTAGGAAAACCGATCTGTGCAATGCCATTTGCCGTGTTACCTTCATCTATGGCTAGTTTCCACAAACTAAGCATGTGATACTTGATGAAGTTCACAACTTCGAGCAGCCAAATGGTACTTGTTCCTGGTATGAGAAGGCGAAGGATCTTGTGCGACAGCATGACCCCGACAGACCAGGCTACTTGTGGTGTTTTATTGACCTCTGCCAAAAGAGTCACTCTTTTCCATCAGGTGTGTGTCCAAATTCAATATTCATCCTAGGTTTAACTTTTTCTTATGTGACCGAATGGTTAGGATCCAGGACTTGCAGTCTAGTGGTCCTGGGTTCAAGTCCTCCAGCCTGCCACTCACTGGATTTGTTTTTCAGTTGTTTCTTCTTGCCTGCGATTTGTGGTCTGGCTCCTACTTGTTGGGGTTTTTAAAACTCTATTGTTTTTGATTATTTATCATGTTTATTTTCCAATTTAGAGGGCCATAAGTTTATCAGTTGGTAACTTTTTGTGTCAACCCTGTAATTGAAGTCTTATTCAGGGCTCGACCTTGACGGTAGCCAATTAGCCACAGACTAGTAGAAGTTCAGTTTTGGCTGGTGGTTTTCGATTTCTACCAGCCAGTTTGGATAGTAAACAAAATGAAATTGTCGTAACATCTAAGTTGTCACTAGCCACTTGGCTAGTACATGTAAGTTGAAAAGTTGGCGTCGAGCCCTACTTAATATTATTATTATTTTTCGTATATGTGCACGATCCTTCGCAGTAAAGCACTATTTAAGCAATAGTGAAAATCAGACCTGAAAAAAATTCAGGCCTGTACGGGATTCGAACCACTGACCTCTACGATACTAGTGCAGCGCTCTACCAATTGAGCTAACAAGCCAACTGGGAGCAGGCCATCAAATTAATTCGACATAAATCCGTAGATGATAAATCAAACAACATTTTTTTCAGGTCTGACTTTCACTATTGCTTAAATAGTGCTTTACTGCGAAGGATCGTGCACATATACG